TCCCTCCTCCCTCCTAACTCCCTCTCTCCCTTCTGCCTCCCTTCCTCCCCCTCTTCCTTCCTTCTCTCCCACCTTCCCTCTCTCCCTCCTCTCTCTCCTCCCTCTCTCCTTCTCTCCCTCATCCCTCCTTCCCTCCTGACTCCCTCCCTTCTTCCCTCCAGAGGTAATTAAGGTTAAATTCAGTTATTAGAGTGGGCCTTAATCCTATATGACTGGTGTCTTTCTCTGATGTCTACTGGGACCATGTGATACTGAGGATTTTGCCAGAATAATCCACTTGGCCTTATTCAACTGTGTTCTACTTACACAGTGTACTTCTGGCCTGTGACACTGCCCAGCCGATGACCAGGGCCCTCCCATCCCTGTGATGTGGATAACTGGTCGGGGCTGCATTCCTGGCCCCTGGGAAGATGGCCCCCACCCAGGATGCAGATGTCCCTGCTTGGAATGAGCTGGTCCTTTAACATCTTCTTTGACAGAAAGTCTAATGACTTTCTTTGGATGTTAGTTCCGTCACCCACTGAACCCATCAATGATAAAAATCCCTGGATCGAACTGGAAAAGTTCACAGTCTCATCTTCCTGGCTTGAGTTTTTATGAGTTAGTGCTCCACAGGAGAGGTAGCAGAGAGTGGAGGAGGGCACAGACTGTCCTGGAGAGAGCAGACCAAGAGAAGTATGCCAAGTGTGGTGTGTCTTACCTAGAACAGGTGAAGCTGCAGGTAACACAACTTAAATGGCTCGAACACGTGCAGGCTTATTGTTCTCACATAAGCAGAGGTTCAGACGTGGGCAGTGGCTGCCCAGTTCTACTAATCTGTGATGCTTACCCAGCGTCTCTCTTTGCCTCATGGCTACAAGATAGGTGCTACAGCCCCGACATCATGTCTGTTCAGGGCGGAGAAAAGGGAGGGAAAGTGTAGAACCAGCCACGTCTCTCCCTTTAACGGGAGAAGTAAAAGTTTTCCCAGAAATGTTCTCAACCTACTTTCATTAAGGTCTCGTTGGCCAGATGTGGGTCATAGAACCACCCCTAGTTGCAAGCAAAGCTGGCAAATCAGGAAACAGGATTGTCATGATTTATTATCTGGTGTTGGGCCTGTGGCCACCGTGGATGAAGGCAAAGAAAGAATAAATGTCATGTAGGCAACTAACAGGTGGCTTTGTCTCAGCTTATTTTTGAGAGTCACATCTCCACGCAGAGTATTTTAGATTGAGATCAGTTTACGATACCACCTTCACACCAGCTGTCTTGTGTAGACAAAGTCGTTTCTACAAGTGACATTATTAACATCCCGGCTGAGCGCCCTGGGGTTTGACCTTCTCTTGCCGGTTTAGAGGAAACTGCTGAATCCTCTATATTTACCAGCTGTCCTGCTCAAAATATTTGAGTATCTAGAAAGGAAATAAAGCAGATGGGGCTGAGGCTTCAGGAGGAAGTTGAAGGTATAAAGGAGGGAAGTCCTTCATTAACAAAGAAAATCTTTTCAATCCCAGAGGCGTTTGTTTGAGAGCCCAGGGATGAGTGGGGTTGCCCACGGTAACCGAGAGGATCTTTCTTCCCCACCAGGTGACGGGTCAAAAAGAAGGTATGGGCCGCCATGCTTCTATGTTGATTTCTTGTTTAATTACACACCTGGGGAGGAATCAAGGGTGGGTATAAGAGCCCATGGCCGAGAGGTTGTCGCAGAGACAGGCTCCACAGAAGTTCTGTTTATTACCACTCAGGGAGGCAAAGGGAGGGAGGCTTCTTTCCCTGGAGGCCACCGGACAGAGATCTAGTACAGGCCACGGTTGCTGATATTTCTAATTCCAAAAAAAGTCAGGAAGATTTTTTTTTTTAACATTTTTAAAGTTTTTCTTAAACATTTTTGTAAGTTTATTTATTTTGAGAGAGAGAGAGAGAGAGAGAGAGAGAGAGAGAGAGAGACTCCCAAGCAGACTCTGCACTGTCAGGACAGAGCCCAACGTGGGGCTCCGTCCCACGAACTGCGAGATCATGACCTGAGCCCAAGTCGAATGTTCGAGCCACCCAGGCACCCCGAAAGATTTTTAAACCCAAGACAAAGTTAGGGAGTGTTTTAGGAAAAGTAGAGTCTTTAACGAGTGGACACCACATTGCTCTTATATAAAACCTATGGTAAGTTTAAAATAATATATGTATTTATTTACTTATATTGAAAAAAAAGAACTTTTCACAGGGTCATAGGTTTTCCAATCTCTCTGCTTTTCTGGATGGAGAAATACTTTTCCTCAGACCCTACAGACCATTGAGCGGCCAGTATCCACCCTGCAGGGTCCCCCAGTAGCTACTTTGTCCCCTAGGGACAATGCCAAATGTACCTCTTTTGTAGTGTCCAGAAAAGACACAGAAGCTGATTTGTTCCTAGGATTCTGATTTTTGTTTTCCTGATCTCATCCTCCCGACCTGACTAGACACGGATTCGGATTCGCGGTCACGTGATCATTTAGCGGGGAGGGGGCAAGCGTCTCTCCCCCGTCGCTGAGGGAATGGCGCTCCAGGAGAAGACAGCGACCTGTAGTTCTTACCTCTCACCGGAGCTCTGAAAGGAGCTGAGGAGGATAAGGCACATCCCAAAAGCCGGGCTTGGGGGACTGGATCAAAGGAAAAGTCTCGGAGCTGCAGAGGGCAGTTTGTGACACAGCCGTGGGGTGAAGGAGGCGGGTGTGCTCCCGTGGGGGCAGGAGAGGGCCTTACTCCCTCCCTGCAAGGACCAGGGGCAAAGTCACAATTAGGCATTTGCGAAGGAAAGAGAAGCCGGTCATGCCAGCAGTTCAGCTCAAGGTGGTGGTGCTGTTACTTTAGGAAGCTGACTGGGTCTTTTTCTCTTCCGTCCACTTTGCCTTATTTTGGTAGACCAAGAAGGCGGTATTTTCCTCCTGGCCAGTGTGAATCAGGTCACATTTGCTTCTTTGGGTGGAATCACCTCAGAGTGATCAGAAGCAGTTTCCCCGCGGTTCCCGGCGCTGGTGGGGCTCACGGTGGCTGCTGGCTTCCTTCGTGCAGGCTCAGCCGGGAGGGAGGAGGTTGTGTGACAACAGGCTTCCTGTTCCCTGCCTCTCGCCCCAGCCACAGCGCAAAGTCTGCATGTGAACGTGCGTGGGTAAATATAGACAGAAGTGTGTTTGTGTAAAATTTGCTTGTATTTATAAAAAGTAATGGTAAACCAGAAACTGCAGAGGGGCCGGGGACAGGGAGAAGAGCTGGGTCTCCCTGTCGGGGCCGCCGGCTCTGGCCTGCTTCCAGCAGCCTGCCCCACTCCGCAGGGCTGGGTGAGGAGGAACTGGAACCCTCCTTTATAGATCATGGCACTCGAATTCCCTGCCTCTGTGGCCCCAAGCCCACTTACACAACCCTTCCCGCGTCCCCCCTCCTCTGGGCAAACAGCACCTCGGGGATGCACACCCACCACCTGAGGGCTGACCAGGGGCTGCCCCCCCCCCGCCCCCCTGCACGTGTGGGTGCAAGGCTTCTGTGGGATGGGAGCGCCTGGGGCCTGGGAGCAGTGGGCGGAGGGATGGGGCAGGCTCTCCCTGGGCCATCCAGTTCCAGCCCGGAGCTCCTGGGAGCCAAGTTCTGAGTGGGAAACTGGTCTCCATGTCCATGGGAAGAAGCACTTTCTAGGAGGAGAGGACATATTCTATTTAGGAATTTGGTGGCTCAGTCGGTTAAGTGTCCAACTTTGGCTTGGGTCATGATCTCACAGTTCATAGGTTCGAGCCCCACCTCCGTCTCTGTGCTGACAGCTGGGGGCCTGGAGCCTGCTCTGGATCCTGAGCCCTCTCCCTCTCTCTCTCTGCCCCTCTCCTGCTCACGCTCAGTCTCTCTCTCTTGAAAACAAACATTAAAAAAAAAAAAAAAGAATTTGGTGGCTTGATGTATAACCTGAAATTCTCATGGGATATGGACCCCTGTTACCTTTGTGCAAGGACCCACGGGTATTAAGGACACTTGACTAAATTCACCTTGTTTTGTACAT